TGAGCTTTATCGTACCTCTGCTTAAAGCTATGTATGGATCCTGCCTCCACTACATCGCTTCCCAAACTATTCCACTTACTGACTACTCTGTGGCTGAAGAAATACTTCCTAACATCCCTTTGATTCATCTGTGTCTTCAGCTTCCAACTGTGTCCCCGTGTTGCTGTGTCCAGTCTCTGGAACATCCTGTCTTTGTCCACCTTGTCAATTCCTCTCAGTATTTTGTAAGTCGTTATCATGTCCCCCCTATCTCTCCTGTCCTCCAGTGTCGTCAGGTTGATTTCCCTTAACCTCTCCTCATAGGACATACCTCTTAGCTCTGGGACTAGTCTTGTTGCAAACCTTTGCACTTTCTCTAGTTTCTTCACGTGCTTGGCTAGGTGTGGGTTCCAAACTGGTGCCGCATACTCCAATATGGGCCTAACGTACACGGTGTACAGGGTCCTGAACGATTCCTTATTAAGATGTCGGAATGCTGTTCTGAGGTTTGCCAGGCGCCCATATGCTGCGGCAGTTATTTGGTTGATGTGCGCTTCAGGAGATGTGCCTGGTGTTATACTCACCCCAAGAACTTTTTCCTTGAGTGATGTTTGTAGTCTCTGGCCCCCTAGACTGTACTCCGTCTGCGGTCTTCTTTGCCCTTCCCCAATCGTCATGACTTTGCACTTGGTGGGATTGAACTCCAGGAGCCAGTTGCTGGACCAGGTCTGCAGCCTGTCCAGATCCCTTTGTATTTCTGCCTGGTCTTCGATCGAATGAACTCTTCTCATCAACTTCACGTCATCTGCAAACAGGGACACCTCGGAGTTTATTCTGTGTGAGTGTGTTTGTGTCTGTGTGAGTGTGTTTGTGTCTGTGTGGGTGTGTCTGTGTGAGTGTGTTTGTGTATGTGTGGGTGTGTCTGTGTGAGTGTGTTTGTGTCTGTGTGAGTGTGTTTGTGTCTGTGTGGGTGTGTCTGTGTGAGTGTGTTTGTGTATTTTGTGGGTGTGTCTGTGTGAGTGTGTTTGTGTCTGTGTGGGTGTGTCTGTGTGAGTGTGTTTGTGTCTGTGTGAGTGTGTTTGTGTCTGTGTGGGTGTGTTTTGTGTCTGTGTGGGTGTGTCTGTGTGAGTGTGTTTGTGTATGTGTGGGTGTGTCTGTGTGAGTGTGTTTTTGTGTCTGTGTGAGTGTGTTTTGTGTCTGTGTGAGTGTGTTTGTGTCTGTGTGAGTGTGTTAGTGTCTGTGTGGGTGTGTCTGTGTGAGTGTGTTTGTGTATGTGTGGGTGTGTCTGTGTGAGTGTGTTTGTGTCTGTGTGGGTGTGTCTGTGTGAGTGTGTTTGTGTCTGTGTGAGTGTGTTTGTGTCTGTGTGGGTGTGTCTGTGTGAGTGTGCTTGTGTATGTGTGGGTGTGTCTGTGTGAGTGTGTTTGTGTCTGTGCGGGTGTGTCTGTGTGAGTGTGTTTGTGTCTGTGTGGGTGTGTCTGTGTGAATGTGGTGTGTGTCTGTGTGGGTGTGTCTGTGTGAGTGTGTTTGTGTCTGTGTGGGTGTGTCTGTGTGATTTGTGTTTGTGTCTGTGTGTTTGTGTCTGTGTGTTTGTGTCTGTGTGAGCGTGTCTGTGTGAGTGTGTTTGTGTCTGTGTGGTGTGTCTGTGTGAGTGTGTTTGTGTCTGTGGGTGTGTGTCTGTGGGGGTGTGTCTGTATGTTTGTGTCTGTGGGGGGGTGTCTGTGGGGGGGTGTCTGTGGGGTGTGTCTGTGGGGGTGTGTCTGTGGGGGTGTGTCTGTGGGGGTGTGTCTGTGGAGGTGTGGGTATTTAGTGCCAAGCATTATTAGATGAATAGCGTGTCAAGCAACATTAAAGAGGCAAAAATGCCAAACAGTATTCAATTAGGGTAATGCTATGTATCATAGAATGTGTGGAGGGCCGAACTGGGGAATTATTATTGTTATTAAACAAAATTTTAAACATAAGCAATATACTGCTACACTACTCTGTACGATAGTTGCATAGTGGGAACACCGGCACTGTGCTGCTACACTACTCTGTACGATAGTTGCATAGTGGGAACACCGGCAGTGTGCTGCTACACTACTCTGTACGATAGTTTGCATAGTGGGAACACCGGCACTGTGCTGCTACACTACTCTGTACGATAGATGCATAGTGGGAACACCGGCAGTGTGCTGCTACACTACTCTGTACGATAGTTGCATAGTGGGAACACCGGCACTGTGCTGCTACACTACTCTGTACGATAGTTGCATAGTGGGAACACCGGCACTGTGCTGCTACACTACTCTGTACGATAGTTGCATAGTGGGAACACCGGCAGTGTGCTGCTACACTACTCTGTACGATAGTTGCATAGTGGGAACACCGGCAGTGTGCTGCTACACTACTCTGTACGATAGTTGCATAGTGGGAACACCGGCAGTGTGCTGCTACACTACTCTGTACGATAGTTGCATAGTGGGAACACCGGCAGTGTGCTGCTACACTACTCTGTACGATAGTTGCATAGTGGGAACACCGACAGTGTGCTGCTACACTACTCTGTACGATAGTTGCATAGTGGGAACACCGGCAATGTGCTGCTACACTACTCTGTACGATAGTTGCATAGCGGGAACACCGGCAGTGTGCTGCTACACTACTCTGTACGATAGATGCATAGTGGGAACACCGGCAGTGTGCTGCTACACTACTTTGTACGATTGTTGCATAGTGGGAACACCGGCAGTGTGCTGCTACACTACTCTGTACGATAGTTGTATAGTGGGAACACCGGCAGTGTGCTGCTACACTATTCTGTACTATAGTTGCATAGTGGGAACACCGGCAGTGTGCTGCTACACTACTCTGTACGATAGTTGCATAGCGGGAACACCGGCAGTGTGCTGCTACACTACTCTGTACGATAGTTGCATAGTGGGAACACCAGCAGTGTGCTCCTACACTACTCTGATAGTTGCAGAGTGGGAACACCGGCAGTGTGCTGCTACACTACTCTGTATGATAGTTGCATAGTGGGAACACCAGCAGTGTGTTTCTAAACTACTCTACGTACTAGTTGCATAGTGGGAACGAGAGGTTTGTTTCCCTGTCATATACCATCACGCAGAATAGATTTTAGACGTCAGGTAAAGCAAGCAATCAGTCTGAGCTGGAAGACTTCAGTAGAGCAGTGAGGACATGGTCAGATATCAGTTACTGGTTCAGCAGCTACGGCAGCTTCCAAGGCATTGTTCCAGCACAAGTGGAATTATTGTTACTTGGGAGTAACCATCTGTCATGATTGTGATCTAAGAAGTAATGCGGGTGATGAGAGGCTAGAAATAGATGAGTCACTCCTCACAAACTCTCATGAGAGAGAGTTTGTGAGGATTGAACCTGCGCACATCATTCCTCAGACTCGGAATGATGTGCGCTGATTCACCGCGATGTAGGGAACGGAGATATCGTGACGCTGGTGAGTTCTTGACTCGAGGAACTGGAGCTGCCTTCCGCGATTGCTTCCCCATCTCCCTCCCAGGCGCTTCATGACCCCCCTACGGGTTTAGCTGTAATAATAATATCAATAATAATAATAACAGCAACAGCAATAACAATCATAATGTATGACGGTGCACCCAAGAACAGTACACACACGCACACACACACACACACACACACACACACACACACACACACACACACACACACACACACACACACAGGGAGAGTGACCTAGTAGCGACCAGTGAAGAGGCGGGGCCAGGAGCATGGACTCGACCCCTGTAACCTCAACTAGGTAAGTACAGCCAGGAGCTGTGAATCGACCCCTACAACCACAAACAGGCAAGTACACACACACACACACTCTCTCTCTCTCTCTCTCTCAAACACACATAAACGGAGATAAAGTTGCAGTTTCCTAAGGCTGGGTCTTGGCGTAAAGCCCACACTACAAGCTTCCTTGGACCCAAATGATTTTTCTTTTTTTTTTTTTTTTGAGGGGAGAGGAAGGGGGGAGGCACTGAACCAAACTCTAAGACTCCAACATGGGACCCTGGAAGCTGATCTTTGTTAGCAGTGCCACCTACGGCACCAGCTGCCTGGCACACATGCACCGCAGTCACAAAATACGAAAAACAGGAAGTCATAGAGAATATATTAAAGTAAAGAGCAATTATGTTGGCTGTCACACTGGCTATGTTGATGTACATATAAAACTTATTCTCATATAACACCAACACACATCTACAAGCTTCTCTCTTCCTCCCTCACTCAAAAACTTCATTTCCATTCTTGTCTGTATCAACAGCTCATTACAATTGTTACCAGATGGCTAATTCGTGAATAAGTCGTTACCTCTGTAACTTGCTTAGTTATCACAACTTTTAGACCCAGTCTTTGAATCCGTTATGTACCTCTGTAGTCTTTGGACTACAGTCCACAGGATGCGTACGAGAGTACTTATAAAAAAAGGTAATACACATCTCTAGTACACATTCTAACACTGTCAAAACTCATCATCACACAACACTAGCACACTTTTTCACTCCCTAAACCACACGCTCGTCTCTACGGTAGAAGACTGCAAGAAAGAAAGCAACAAGGTGAGGAAACAGTTCCCTCTATCACGTAAATCTTACTGTTATACCAGGTATCCCGGGGAGCGGGGATACCTCTCTCAGTCACGGCAGCGACGGACATGTAATTACACCTCCAGGCGGTCGCGAGAAAGAGGCGCTCACCTCCAGGTCGTTTTAAAACACCAGAACTTACTTCCAGTGTCTTAAGAAAGTCGTACGCACCTCCAGTGTCTTAAGAAAGAGGCACTCACCTTCAGTGTCTTAAGAAAGAGGTATTCACTTCAGTGTCTTAAGAAAGAGGTACTCACCTCCAGGTGTCTTAAGAAAGAGGTACTCAACTCGAGGTCATCTTAAAGCATATTACTTACCTCCAGGTCGTTTCTAAAACAGTAGTACTCACCTCCACGTCGTCTACCAACATTACTCACCTTCAGATCGTTTTAAAACAGTACTCACCTCCAGGTCTTCATCAGTAAAGAAGAAAACGTGATGCAAAAGCCTAAGTGTCGAGTCCACTTGGTGGCGACGCAGGAGTAAGTGTCCAGCACAGGGAAGATGGCAGCCATCTGAGGAACAAGGGGAAAGTGAGTAAAAGTGAGGAGAAAGTGAGTGGAAGTGAAAATGATGACAGAAACATAGCTAAATGTAACCTCTGCCAGGAGAGTAATTATCTTGCCCTATCTTGACTTCAGCAGAGTAATTATCTTGCCCTATCTTGACTTCAGCAGAGTAATTATCTTTCCCTATCTTGACTTCAGCAGAGTAATTATCTTGCCCTATCTTGGCTTCAGCAGAGTAATTATGTTGCCCTTCCTGCCCTTCGTCATAAAGAATTTGGAAACAACTTCTCCAATTAAATTTAAGAAACATCACCACGTTTCGTTCATGATGACACATTAGCGAAACATCTAGTCAAGTTCACCAACTTCAGTTAATTGATAAGAGGCAGTTTCCACTGTAGCGATCGAAATGATTTTTTTTTTTGGGGGGGGAGGGGGGCCAATCCTTCGACTTGAGTGAAATGTCGTAATGCTGACGAGTGGGAAGGAAGACACAAATTTTTCAACAACGTTTCGCTCTGTTTAGAGCTTTGTCAAGATGACTTGATGAAGCTCTACACAGTGAAACACTGCCCAATAAAAGTTTATTATTATTATTATTATTATTATTATTATTATTATTATTATTATTATTATTATTATTATTATTATTATTATTATTATTACATAGAGAGTGAGTATTAGTCAGGTGTAGAGTGTTGTTCACTTACTTCAAGATACATGATGATGCAGCCAATAAGACAAATACAGAGGAAGGTGGGTGAGGCCAGACGAAATACCTTGACGCTGCGGTAGTGGTATACGAGTCCCATCAACACTATCGTGAACAGTATACACAGGCTTGAGATAGTGAGCAACACGATTCTGCAGCAGAGGTGAGGAGGGAGGGGCATTAGGAGGAGACGGGGACACACCAGGGAGGTGGGGGACATACCAGGGAGGTGGGGGACACACCAGGGAGGTGGGGGACACACGAGAGAGGTGGGGGCACACCAGAGAGGTGGGGGACACACCAGAGAGGTGGGGGACACACCAGGGAGGTGGGGGACACACCAGGGAGGTTGGGGACACACCAAGGAGGTGGGGGACACACCAGGGAGGTGGGGGACACACCAGAGAGGTGGGGGACACACCAGACAGGTGGGGGACACACCGATGAGAGGAAGAGAGGGGGACATGCGATAGCGAGAAGATGGGAGAGGGGGAGGATTGAAAGGGGAAGATGGTAACAGAGAAAATGAAAGGGAGAGAGGGGAAAATTGGGGTAAGTGTAATAGACAGAGAAGGGGAGAATGAAAAGTGAGGAGAGTGAGAGAGTAAGGGTAAAAGATGCAATGTGGGAGGAGGGGAAGAGAGGATGTGGGAGGGAGAGAGGATGTGGGAGGGAGGAGAAGGAGGGGACTTGTAGTCACGGTAATAAAAATGTACCAGGAACAATATATAAAGTCTTACCAGGTGAGATACAATACATGTACTCAGGTAACACAAATACATGTTACTGAACCATTGTGTTGTGAAACGAATTTCTTGTTGCACAAGTTACATGTGTTGCCAACAGTAATGTTACACAGTTGTTGCAACCATGTTAACTGTGCTGCAACACAAGTTATAGATGAACAAAGTTTCATTGTTGAATGTTACATTTTGCAACATGTTAACTATGCAAAACAATGTTTGCACATGTTATCTCTTGACAATACACTTGATGACTATACTTCAAATTATCATTGATTATATGCTACTTTTGCAATCAAGATTTATCGTGCAAATCCATTTTCAATATTTATCATCGTCTGTTCAACAATCTACATAGTTCTTACGTACTTAAATCTCATTTCATACGGTTTACAGTGTAAGGTATGAATTTCCTGTTCTAATTGACGTATTATATACCAGTGTATTACAATACCATGTATTCGGTATTATTTTACCGTGTATAAGGCATAGTCCAGATATACTTAGAATCATGTTATAAATACCAGTGTATATTACGGTATGAATACCAGTGTATATTACGGTATTAATACCAGTGTATATTACGGTATAATACCAGTGTATATTACGGCATAAATACCAGTGTATATTACAGTATTTTTTCCCCTTTGAGAAAGCTTCAACCTTGTGTTTGATCCTGCCTACTCCTTCCTTGGAGATAGATGGTATAAAATGCCGACAAGTTGGAAAAAAATAGATATAAATGCAGTATAATACGAGCCTTTATTGACTACGTTTCGCCCACACAGTGGGTTTTATAAAACCCACTGTGTGGCCTTTATTCTGTCAGTTTTCTTTTTACACAGTGACAAGAAAGAGTTTTAAAACAAACTTTTATTGGGACAACGTTTCGCTCTATGTAGAGCTTTATCGTGACTTGATAAGGCTTTACATAGAGAGAAACGTTGACTCACTCCCCCTCCCCCCAAAAAAACCTGGTTTAACAAGTCCCTTCTTTTTTCATGAGTATTCCCGGTGGTAAGCCACCACACCGCCTGGACCCAGACTAGCATCTTCCCTCACGATCTACCATCCATCATCATCAATTCTGCTTCGGACTTTGCTGCTGTATTGTCTCTCATCTTCTCTTCTTGTTTTGTGGTTATTCTAGGCTTTTCAGCCTAGAATAACTTCTCTAACTTCTCTTCGTCGTGCTGTATCTCTTAACAGGCCTTGGGTTCTCTCTTTCTCTCTCTCTCTCTCTCTCTCTCCCTTGTATTTCGTATTCTCCTGTGTGTGCATGCCCCTTGTCAGTGCACGTAAGTGCTTTTTTTTACGTGTAAGTGCACGTGTGAGAGCTAATAACGTGTATTATTATATTCGTGAGTTCATACAACGCCTGGAGAATATTCACAATTAACCTCGAGAGTTTTTTCCCGGCATCAAGGCAGTCAACTTCAAGGTTAATTATGAGCAAAAATTGTGAGATTGAATTTTCCAGTGTGTTGTTATCTGGGATAACAAAATTTCTCTCTTTTTTCACTTTCTATTTTTTTTTGGTTTCAACTTCACTTTAATTTCCTCCATGGAATTCCAGAGTTTATTATTAATGTTTTCATTCTGAGATTAAAGGGTCTCTTTCGAGCTAACTGCAGAGCAAACGTAATCTACGTTTTTACCGAAGCCGAGTCAACAACAGACTGGCACTGAAACAAAGCCGTCCCCTCTGTCTCCCTGCTGAACCAGTCTCCACTGACTGACCTATAAACGCCAGTCCTCACGCCGGATCTGCACGAATTCAGATATATTAGGATTAGATGAAGGTTACATTACGCTTTTTTTTCATCAGCGTCTAATCATACTGTTTGGGACAATCAGAATAATTTCCAGCGTAGACAAAGTCGCCCCCGTAGATGCCGCTTCAGCCAAAACAGTAAGAGAAGCACCCACCCAGAGCGGCTTGTGTCGCTAACAATAATCATATCGATGACTCCATCCTAAGATCATTAATTTTATAAGTCAGATGCTCATAAAGCAATTGGTGCATAACCGTCAGGTTCTGCTGTGCGAACACAGCACATCAAAAAGAGAAGGTTCATCCAGTGTTGGGCACAGCAGCAGAGATCCTCTTACCTGTGACAACAACGCTTGTTACCAACTCTCTTTCTGAATTCATAACTTAATTAAATTGTTCTATTTCAGTGGATCTTTATGTGCATTGAAAAAAAGAGGAAGGGGTAGTCAGACCCACCATCGTTGGTAACACCTTCCGACTGGTTGCTAGTTTTAATCAGAGATATTTGAAGAGAAGCTTCCAGCTTGCTTCGGCCAACCCATCTTTCCTTTGGATCTCTTAAGGCAGCAAAGCAGCAGCAAATCATGCAACTTACCCGAAAATAAGGATTACCTTAAATTAATTTAAAGATATGGTTTTAAGAGCCATTCAAGAACTAATCCCTGGTCTGTTTCCCTTCGTTCCAGCTGGTTACAGCAAAGACTCAACTTTGTTGTTAATATCGCATAGTCAGAGGCCGTCCAGCAGTAAGACCAGCCCTCCTCATTTCTGTTCTGCACAGTGGTAAGGAAACTCCATACCTGCTACCTGGATGACGGTACTTGGCAGATACAAAAGAATCCCTGGCAGCACATCTTTCCGAAGTCACTTCGTGTAATATTCACAAAGTAAATACTTGCCTGGTGTATTATTCACAGGGTTAATACCTATCTAGTGTAATATTCACAAGGTTAATACCTCTCGAATGGAATTAGTGGGTTTCTTTAATATTATATTAGCACCTACCGGAAGGTCCAGTTGTAAGTAGCGTTGCAGGGCTCGTCTGACTTACACTCTGGGCAGTCTTCAGGACACCGCCGACACACATACATTTGGTAGATGGGATTCTTGTTATACCTTATACTCTCCCACGCCACTGTGTGAAGAGGGATACTTATTATACATCATATTCTCCCATGCTAATGTGTGAAGAGGGATACTTGTTATACTTCATACTCTCTCACACAACTATGTGAGGGGGATACCTTTCATTCCTCCTACCCTGACGCCACTGTGAAGAGGGATACAACACAGCAGCTCAGGTAAACATCAAGACTAACCAGTAAAACTGGACTTGCAAAACATTCTGCTTTGTAGTGGCAAATATTTCCACCCATTGTTAATATCATTTTATCTCAGAAAATAAAAACAATTATACTAAATGGATTTCGGTCGCTTCAGTGCATAACCTCGGTGCCTCAGCGCACGCAACAGGAATAGTGCAGAGTGCGGCACAAGTTTGCAAGATGGTTAATTATCAACACTGAAGATTTGACTCAGAAGAAGTAATCTCAAGTTATTACATAGAAATTAATAATGCAATTCCTTCAATAAAAATGGAATATCTAATGAACCATTCAGAAACAGGCGAGTACATACAGTGAAAGTCATTTTTTACTGACAGTCATCAGGTGATGATTTTGGGCTGGGGGCAACAGCAGCTGCTGGTGTCAGGGCTGGAGTCAGCAGCAGCTGCTGGTGTCAGGGCTGGAGTCAGCAGCAGCTGCTTGTGTCAGGGCTGGAGTCAGAAGCAGCTGCTGGTGTCAGGGATGGAGTCAGCAGCAGCTGCTGGTGTCAGGGCTGGAGTCAGCAGCAGCTGCTGGTGTCAGGGCTGGAGTCAGCAGCAGCTGCTGGTGTCAGGGCTGGAGTCAGCAGAGCTGCTGGTGTCAGGGCTGGAGTCAGCAGCAGCTGCTTGTGTCAGGGCTGGAGTCAGCAGCAGCTGCTGGTGTCAGGGCTGGAGTCAGCAGCAGCTGCTTGTGTCAGGGCTGGAGTCAGCAGCAGCTGCTGGTGTCAGGGCTGGAGTCAGCAGCAGCTGCTGGTGTCAGGGCTGGAGTCAGCAGCAGCTGCTGGTGTCAGGGCTGGAGTCAGCAGCAGCTGCTGGTGTCAGGGCTGGAGTCAGCAGCAGCTGCTGGTGTCAGGGTTGGAGTCAGCAGCAGCTGCTGGTGTCAGGGCTGGAGTCAGCAGCAGCTGCTGGTGTCAGGGCTGGAGTCAGCAGCAGCTGCTGGTGTCAGGGATGGAGTCAGCAGCAGCTCCTGGAGTCAGCAGGCTTGGGTAGTCAGCAGCAGCTGCTGGTGTCAGGGCTGGAGTCAGCAGCAGCTGCTTGTGTCAGGGCTGGAGTCAGCAGCAGCTGCTGGTGTCAGGGCTGGAGTCAGCAGCAGCTGCTGTGTGTCAGGGCTGGAGTCAGCAGCAGCTGCTGGTGTCAGGGCTGGAGTCAGCAGCAGCTGCTTGTGTCAGGGCTGGAGTCAGCAGCAGCTGCTTGTGTCAGGGCTGGAGTCAGCAGCAGCTGCTTGTGTCAGGGCTGGAGTCAGCAGCAGCTGCTGGTGTCAGGGCTGGAGTCAGCAGCAGCTGCTGTGTCAGGGCTGGAGTCAGCAGCAGCTGCTGGTGTCAGGGCTGGAGTCAGCAGCAGCTGCTGTTGTGAGTCAGGGCTGGATGGGGCAGAAGCAGCTGCTGGTGTCAGGGATGGAGTCAGCAGCAGCTGCTGGTGTCAGGGCTGGAGTCAGCAGCAGCTGCTGGTGTCAGGGCTGGAGTCAGCAGCAGCTGCTTGTGTCAGGGCTGGAGTCAGCAGCAGCTGCTGGTGTCAGGGCTGGAGTCAGCAGCAGCTGCTGGTGTCAGGCTGGAGTCAGCAGCAGTGCTGGTGTCCAGGGCTGGGTCAGCAGCAGCTGCTGGTGTCAGGGATGGAGTCAGCAGCAGCTCTGGTGTCAGGGCTGGAGTCAGCAGCAGCTGCTGGTGTCAGGGCTGGATTCAGCAGCAGCTGCTGGTGTCAGGGCTGGAGTCAGCAGCAGCTGCTGGTGTCAGGGCTGGAGTCAGCAGCAGCTGCTGGTGTCAGGGCTGGGCCCAAACACCTCACATAAATCATAGCAAAATGCATCCACTAGTGTCAGCAGTGTTGATTAGGGTCTTAAGTAAATCTTTTGGAGACATTCAGCTTGTGTCAGGTGGGTAAAAAGTTATTGAAAAATGGGAAGCACTCTCCCGTTTTCATGTGGGTCACACATCTGTTTCAGGGGTCGAACCTTAGCTCCCGTCCTGGCTCTTTGTCTTCACTGACCAGCAGTAGTCTGTGTAGCCTCTTACTCCCATCATGCATGTTCAAGCTGTGCTTGAGTGTCAGCATTTGCATATTCACTTCCTAACACTGTCGACCTGTAGGCTGAGATCACTCCCTGTCCTACCCACTCCCATTAAGTTTCGCTGGAGTCTTTACATCATTATCATATCTCTGTAGTCTCTTTCAGAGTATCATATCAAGTCTTATTCTGGTCGCCAGGGTGTGTACCGTTCTCAGCACCGGGTAGTCGGGGAGTTGCAACCTTTAGGCATTCAAAAAATTTTTCCACCTTCCACCCCCCAACCCCGTGTCTAGGGCTTGCATAATATATATATATATATATAATATGTATATAAATCTTTATATATACAAGTATGTTAGGTATATATATATATGTATATATCAGAGAGGAGAGGAGAGAGAGAGATCTCACTTTCAAGCAAGGGTCATTAAAAGTACCATTGTTCCTGGAGAGTAGCCCTTTGCTGCAGTCGCACTTATTCCTTCCAGCAGCCGTACGGGCAGGTGAACACACCTGAAAAATAAAAACATCATAAAATAATTCATATGTTAATAAATTACCTGTTGAGGCAATTTCAGTTTATTCTTTATAAGGATAAAATAGTGAGTTTACATGAATTTGGTAATTCGTTGGTTTCTGTAGTCAAACTTGATTACAGGGTACCACTTAGCTAACGCCTAGCATGGCTAGGCATTTCGGGACCAGCATAGTTATACTCTTTATTAAATCATTACAAATTATGAAGGTAATTGGTATTATGGCTAAGTGACTAAATACTAGTTTGGATATCCTGTTTAAGCCATGTGAATGCTTTTGGTTTTGGCATCAGTACATCAGTTTCAGTATTCGGTTCCAGAGTCATATTTTTAAATGGATTAATATTCTGTCCTCACATGTGTAAGTTCACACCGGGACTAGTTCGGTTGCAAACCTTTAGGGGCCTTTCAAAGAAGGATTTCCACCCCTTCCCAACCTCCCCAACCCCCGTGTCTAGTCTTGCATATATTTATTATATATATATATTATATAATATATATAAATATAATATATAATTATATATTATATATATATATATATATATATATCGAGAGAGAGAGAGAGAGATACTCACTTTCAACAAGGGTACCATTAAAAGTACCATTGTTCCTGGGAAAGTAGCCCTTTCTGCACTCGCACTTATATCCTCCTCTCACCCAGCCGTACCCGGGCGTGAACACACACTGAAAAATAAAAACATGCATAAACTAATCTCAATGTACATAAATTACCTGT